TCAGCACTTTATATTCCTGGAGAGCGAGATCCCTGCCAGGCCAGCTAGACTGCAAAGTCCCCAGTGAAATGAGTTGAAAGAGAAATGGATTCCTTCTCACCCTCTAAGAAACCAATCTCCCTGCCACATCCATCCGTCCTCACTCGCCCCCCAGAGAACCACGAAGGACAGAAGGGCTGGCACCCACAAGGGAGCCGCAGAGCCACGAAACAAGGCAGGTCATCCAGTGGCCTCTCACTCTGCCGTCCCTGCCCCCAGCCACCCCCACCTCACAGCACCAACCAGAGGTTTCTTTTGATTCCATAATCATTAGAATAAAAGACTTAATTTTTTTTTATTATAGGAGATCTCAACCAAAGGCAGAAGCAGAGGGGAAAGTGTAACAGTAGCCCATTACCCAGCTTCAGGGGTCACCAGCCAGTCTTGTTCTATTTACACCCCAACCCCTCCCCACAGCACTAGCTTTTTTTGAAGTAATTCCCAGACATTATATCATCTCATCCAAAATAGTCCTGTTAGAATCTATAACACTTAAGGACTCCTTTTTATACCATACGATTTCTTATTTTATACCGTTATCACAACTTAAAAAAAAAGGAATAGTAATTCCTGAATATCATCAACTATTACTCGGTGTTCAAATCTCCCTGTCTGATCAATATTTTTTACAGCTTTTGCAAATAGAGGCCAGGCCCTCTGATTTGGTGGCTGATGGCCACATGGCCACAACATCCTCTGTTTACTGATTTGGTGGGTGACATTCTTCATCATGTAAGACAAGCTATTCCAAGCTCACCGTCCCTTTCTTGACAAGAAATGTACAAGACATTTGTGGAGAGAAGCCCCTGTTGTCCTTCAAGGGCATCTTGGACCAGCCAAGCCCCAGCGGACCTGCCAGGAGATGCATGAGTGAGCCCAGACAGGATCAGTGAACTCCTACCAGACCAAAAGAACCACTCAGCCGAGCCAATAAACTCACATGCAATAAAAATGGTTGTTGTTTTAAGCCCCTTAAATTTTGCAACGTTTGTTACTTACCATCAGTCTGGCAATAGATAACCCATACGCCCCCTCCAGCACAGACACTGTTCACATGTTTTCACCCTGCTGCTACTTCCTGCCCATATGCAAGCTATTTCTGCAGACTTAATATCAGAATTCAAGTACAATTTCATGTTTTTCTTCACACGTGTTCCATTTTCCAAGTTGTTTTATAATCATCATAATCATTTTAATGGTTATACCATAATCCACTTGGTTAATGCAGTTACCTCTCCTCAACCACTTCACATTTAGTTGTTTACAATATTTTTCCCTGTCCAGTTTTTAAGACCTGACAGTACACTTAATGGTTAAAACATTAGATCTCAAGATATCAGATAGCCTACTGTCCACCAAAACTGAATCAAGAAGAAACTGAACACTTGAACAATCCGATCACTAGAAAGGAAATAGAAATAGCAATTAAAAACCTCCCTACAAATAAAAGTCCAGGACCGGAT